AGGGTAGGAAAATGTAAATTCAACAAGGTCCTAATACACGCTCTGAATCCACAAAATCAAAATCTCAGCACAAAAAGACAGCATATAATTTCTTAAGTTCTAATTTACTTCTCTATCTGTGTTGTTTACAGTATGAAAGGATTTTTGTTAAATACATGAACAATGCATATGTTATAAACAAACAAAAAATACATAAAATGAACAAAATAATAGGAACTTGCATAAATTGAACTCTCAGAAACAAAATACATAACATTTAATCCACTAACCTGTGAATGCTCCTTACACACACACTAATAACAAATTGGATTGAACAATCAATTTCAATGAAAAATAGAAATGAAAATTGAATGATGAATAATTACAGACACGCGACACGTTTTCTAAGGAACCAGTCCAGCTCGTTCTGTAGTCTAGTTTTGTATTCTCTTGTATCCTCTTCGGTTTCGGTACTTTCGTTTTCTGTGGCGCGCTTGTTCAATCCTAAACTTGATGGCGCATACATGGTTGCAACATTTACTTTTATTCAGTAAACGTTTTTTAAAAAAGTAAAGATTGTAAAAAATAATATTTTAAATAAGTGGTTTTCCTCAATAGGTTGTCCTTTATCCATGTGGAAATTTACTTCCATCGGTGTTCTTATGGGTCTGCTATTTTCCATACCAAACTATTTCAGTAATCGTGTGATTATTTTTGTCTGGGTAATCTTGAGACCTTTTTCATTTTTATTTATCTCCATTCCTAGAAGTGTCTTCACTTCAGTGATACTTTTAACTTTGAATTCATTATACAAATTGTCCACTTTTTTTTGGTCCCGTTGCCAATGCATTGCCCAAGAACAACACCAAATAAACATTGTTCTTGACATACAAACTTAGTTAGTCCTAACATTATTGTACCACAGATTGTACTTAACTTCATGTTTCAACATTTCCGTGCAATAGACAGTCCATACAATGACAATGCCCAGTAAAGTTTAAAATACTTTGAGTCACTTTCAAATCCCTCCTGGCATTTTGGTATCTTTAATCAATAAGCATAGAAATATATCTTCAAAACATAATGAACAATGTGAAATATCTCCCAATGAATGTAATGCCTACTTTGCCAACATAGCGCACAATCTAATAGAGGATATACCAAAGACACATGTAGATCCTGTGGTAGCGTTGATGGCCTCTCCTTACCCGAGCAATAATTTTCTTTTTGGGAGGTCACTTTCAATGAAGTTAGAGAAATAATTTTCAGCCTCAAAAGTAAAAATTTTACTGATGTGTACGGTTTGAGCACCAGCATAGACTAGCACCAGACTGCTGAAGTCTGTCATAAATGTAATTGTTATTCCTTTAACCAAGCTGATAGAGCCACTGGAACTGTGCATATGTAGTAGGTTTATAGGTACCTACTCCGTAAAAAAATTCATGATTGATTTGTGTTCGCGTAAGGGTCGTAATGAAAAAATGAGCAATTCTTAGTTTAATATCAATTTTTGAGAAAACGGTTGGAGATAAAGGTATACATATTGGTATCAAATTAAAGATAAAAAAATACTTCAACGGAAAACGTCAATAGATATAGGGTGTCCCATTTAAAAAATTAGCGTAAAGTACAATGGTAAATATCAATTTTTGAATAACAATTTTGACCACCCTGTATCAAAAAACCCAAATCTTAGACTATTGCGAGATAAAATGATTCCAGCTAAGTACTTCTATACATTTTTACAAAGAAATAAAAAATAGTGGTGTAGATATAACCTCATTAACATCCCACCTATTAATTTTTTTATCCGCTCAACGATGTAGCCGCAATCAAACACCGGAGTATTAAATGGACACCCTGTATATGCTTCGCAGATTTTGGAATTCTGTATCCCCGAATACTTTAAGAACAGCCTACTTTAGTCTGTTTCATTCCACAATGACATTCTTTTCTCGCATGGGGGCATTCTATTTAAGATAACAAAAAGAGTATGTGTAGCGCGAAACTGGGAAATCTGGCAACATTGCCAATAGCACTGTTGAATTCCGCATGCCTGAAAACTGTCAGATACCGAATTGTGTGAACGCGGCTTAAGCAGTTTTGAACATATTTTTGGGCGGGTATTATAAAACTGAAGTTAACTTTTTGAATTACATGTAATTCCATCAGTTAACTCTCAAAGTAGTTTTATAATACCCGCCCTAAGTGTTGCAGTACTCTTTACTAACCCTGTATACATACTTCACTGTCCAATTTTGACCATTAATTTAAAGAATGCGGTTGGCACATCTATCTGACTCAGTAACCGTTCTTTTTGCATTAACGCTAAGTCTAATTGTAGGAAGTCTGCATACTGGTGCAGAACTTAACTCTCCGCCTTCATGTAGTAGGTAGTACCTGAAAACCCCTTGCTACAAGTCTCGCCTTCTTCGTGCCAACCTGTTCCAAGTTGAAAATCCATCTCGTGTCAATTGCTTTTTGTCATTCAGGTAATTCGGTTGGAGTCCATGTATGTATCTTTTCAGTCTTTTCATGAGAGTTCAACTCATTGTTTCTTGCTTGAGGTTCACTGATTTCTTGATATGTCTTTGGCCCTTCCTGACTCTCTAAGAGTACACAATATGCCCCATACAGCTCATAATCATACAGGTTTTTAGGTTTTGTTGCATTTCTCCTAAGGACCAGGAACAACCAGTATACCTCCATCACTGCTCAAGCACTGCAAGTTTGTCCTAGCCCAACCATTATACTAATATCTCTTTCATAGGGAATTTTCTTCGAATTCCGGAAATTATGCTACCTAACACGAATTCACAAATCAGGCAAAAAGGATCTGATGACGAACTATCGACCAATTAGTATTCTGAGTGCCAACCCATACTAACTAAATACTTAACCCTCATACCGAGTCTTCAGGTTTCTTCAATCAAGACAGTTTGGCTTTCAAGCCGCAAAGAATATCGAACTTAATCTGCTGGCGTACGTAGATTTTGTATCCAGTGTCTTGAAGAGAGGCTCTCATTAGGTGCACTCATCTATTTACACGGATTTTTCCAAGGTCTTCAATAGGGTTAACCACGTCGTTCTTCTGTCTAATCTGGAGCTTGTGGGTGTTAGAGGTTCAAGAGTTACCTAACAGCACGATCTCAAATAGTCCGATTCAACAATTTTCAATCCAAAAACATGCAAGTACCATCTGGAGTCCTCTAGGGGTCGCATCTTGTCCTTCTCTTCAACATTTTCATTAATAATCTAATATTGCCCTTCGAACACAGTCAGTTTTCCTCTATTATGTTTTGCACATGGCAAAATGGGCTAATGACAGGTGCCAACTTTCATAATAACAGCACTTGCATTTTTTTAAATAGAACATCCTGTATATTTTTGGCTAGAATGATAGATTTTTTCTTCTGATTCTAAATATACCATATAATGTTGATATTTGGTTCAGCTGTTTTTGCGCTGTTTCATTTTAAAATTGCATTGAGCAAGCCTCATCATTGATATTGGAAACCGGGAACAGACCTAATTTAGGGTAATGTAAATGCATTTTTAAACTTGAATAGCGTAAAAACAGCTGAACCAAATATCAACATATATGGTATATTTGAAATCAGAAGAAAAAAGTCTATCATCCTAGCTAAAAATATACAGGGTGTTCTATTTAAAAAAATGCAAGTGCTGTCATTAGGACAGTTGGCACCTGTCATTTGCCCATTTTGACATGTATGAAAGATAATAGAAATAAAACCCTACAACTCTTTTGTTTAAGTTGTAGGAATCGCACTAATTATAAGGAACAGACCCTGTACATGGAAATAAGTTGTTCAGATTATTGGTTACCTCTACAATCAGACATAAATAATCTGGTAGCCTGGTGCAACGGAAATAAGATGGACCTGAATCAAAGTGCAATTCGATAGTTTTCCATAGGTCAAAATTTGACTAGAACCAAAAAATGATATACTCCTAACCGTCCCCGAAATCAAATATTTAGGTCTACTTCTGGACATCAAGCTCACTTTTATCCCACACATCCACCAAGCCTTATCGAAGTCTCTTCAGATACACGGTTTCATAAAGCGTATAACCGGTAACGACAGCAATAAGTGACAAACTCTATCACCTTCATTTATGTTTAGCTACCTTATAATTGTGTCAAACTTTAAGAAATGGTCGCCCAACTTCTCATTCATACCTGGTTTTAGTCCAAGTAACTTTCTCCAAAGTGATAACTTTGTGAATGCACTAGTTCTCACAAAAACATCCTTCAAAGCAGAAATCTGCTCAATTGCTGCTTTGCAGTTTTGTAATCTTTGATAATGTCCAGATGTTTATTTGAAACACCTTGCAGAATCACCGACTGTACCTTTAGCATCTAGTTAAAGAAACTTATTTTTCTCCTCAGCTATTGCTCCTGCTAGTGGTAGATCAGAGCATTGTTCCCTTTTTAACAAAAAAACTATACGGAAGTACCATTTATTAAAATTAGATGCTTCCGGCATAAAACTTAAACACTGTGCTTACTGGAACTAACTGGGCACTGGGCCCATAACCTCTTATACAGGTAATAACACTTTTGGGGCCAAAAAATCCCAACAATACTTTCTTTACAATTATGTATTATTGCTCAACATTCAACAACATGTTGACAAACTAGAAGTAATTAATTTACAAAACTATAAAGTCTAACATGTTGCGTCACAGATTTAAAACATAATTCTACAAATTATATAGTGAGTATCAAAACTTATATACAATAGTGTTTTCATGGTTTTTGGCTTCAAATCCCACAATAAATCACTGTATGGGGTTTTTGAATCTCACTTGATTATCTAGAGTCGAAATCTCTACATAAAAAAAATTAAAATTTGACCATTCTGGAAGGAAGACTTTCCCTTTGGACTTTGAATAATCATAACTTTTTTTCTATCATAGATAAAAAGCTGAAATTTCCAGTGCCTAGTAAAAGACTTCAAACCTTGAAAATTTCAGCTCATTTGTGTTTTTTTTTCCAGGTATACCAATCTACCAACAAAATCTAATCTTCCAATCCCGAGAACTGAAAGATCTGGCCCGCATAGACGAATCCGGCATCATTACCGGTTCAGTTTTGACCCTAGTGCCATCGATGCGCGGCGGCCCCATAAGCACCCGCAGACTTTCAATGCCTTGCGAACACTTTTTACTCAAAGAACTCAAAGACCTTCTAAAAACCACTAAGGAAGACGTCGCTCCTGGTTCCAAAGTTTCTTTGCTTGTGTTCAAAGAGGGCGACATCATCAATCTACTGAGAGTGGTTGAAAACAAAGATGGTTCATATTCGCCTTTCAATGAAAGTCCAATTTCGCCTCCTTCGAATCGTTTGAGAAGGGACAGGATTGAGGCATTTGAGAAGTTTATTGAAGACACTAAAATGTGTGTTAAAGTGAAAAAGCTGCGCCAAAAAATGGAGGAGCTCAACATGAAGAAGGATGTTAATAAAACTGATAAAGGTTGGGACGAAAAAAATGACGTTTCATATCAGTTTTTTGAAGAATGTGCAGAAAATTTGCTTAAGGAGGTTGATTTGACTATGTTTGAACGTACAACATTAGACGAAGGAGATTATTCCGAAATTGAAGAAGTAGCCCTTAAAGACAAACACCGCAGCAAAGCTCAAACCACAAAATCATTATACAGCGAAAAGCGTTGTTATACCAATAATAATACAAGAAAAAACGAAAGACTTTTTGAAAAAAACGAAACAGGGTATACAATTTTTTCAAGAGACAGACCCAATTTGGACCGTAAAGATGGTAAAAACGAGAACCCGTATTTGTTAGAAGGTTTAAACTCGAACAAGTTGCCGGACATGCACATTTTGCACACTGAAGAGTTTCTGATGGACGAAGCTTGCGGTTTAATGGGTGAGCAAGCGGAAGAGGACGCAGACGAAAATGCAGCTTACAGGCCGATTATACCATTAGCTGGTGGTTTAATTGTACCTACGAAAACTTTAGAGGATGCTTTTATGCCTACTAATTATTCCAAAGAGTTGGTACAATCTAGGTAAGTGAATTCTTATAGTATAAGGGACAATTTTTAAATATTCTATATTATAGTTACTCGCTGGCGAGTACAACAGGCAATCAACCAAAAACAAACTCTGCTCTACCGAAACTGGACACTAGAAGCCAGAGTCCTATTCTAGGGGCCAAGTTGAAGGATCCTAATGTCGGTGAAAGTTTGCCCAGGCGGAACAGGGTGCACTTGGCGCGGCTTTTGCTGGCTTCCGCCGAGGCAGCGGCAGACAGACCGAATAGTTCCTCGGCTTTGGACAAGGGCTTGGAGGAGCGGGATTCTACGTGGGAGATTCGCGAGCCTGCTAGCGAAAGACTGAAGCATAGTGCCACTTGTAAGGTAAGAATTGTTTGAGAATGTAGGATTTTGTTTAGGAATCCAACAGGTGTTCAACAAGTGAATATTTTGGGTAGTATATTTGTTATTGCACAATCTGACATTTATCACCTTTTCAAGAATTTTTGAGGCAGCAGGCAGTACGCTTATTATTGGCCTCAATTCATTTACACTCGAAGGATTATTTACCTTAGGAAGTGGGGTAATAAGAGCCATTTTAAAGATGCTTGAAACCATATCAGTTTGTAGAGAAAAATTTATAATATTTACTAGTGGCTTCAGACAATATGGTAAACATGAGATCTGATCTACACCAACAGCATTACTTTTAATACTTTTAATACATGCTAAAATATCACCATCAGTCATAAGGGTAAAATGAAATGGCTCCCAATCTGCACTTGAACTGAGAAAACAATTTAAGACTTCTGGGTCAACACTATGATTGGCACACTCAGCCAATTTGATGTTTCCAAATATTCACACCTAATATTACTAGCATTGCGTGATGTGCCCTATATCTCTCATAGTTCTCGACTCTAAGAAGAATGCATTGTTAAATACTGTTATTTATGAGTTGGTATCGTTGGTCGATATCAGGGTCATTTGGGAGGTTGTTGAGGAGGAATTCGTTGACATTGGTGTAGCTCTGTTGTCAAAACTGTCTTTTTCTAGTGAGATGGATAGCCTTGAATGGAGTGGTAATCTATGTAGTAGCACTTATTATTACATATGGTCGCTTTTTCCCAGAAGTGGTTTAGCCTCAATACTGGTAACCAGTTTGGAATCATTAACCAAAAACAAGTCTAGCAATGATGCTTGATCGTTTCGGTGTCTAGTTGGAAAAGATTAGCATTCATTTTCTTGTATAAATTAAGAAAGTTACTGGCTTGGGAGGAGTAAGATGACAAGCTCAGGGTCGGCCAGTTCATTTCTGGATAGTTAAAATTCCCAAAAATGTAGTGCACCAAGTGCGAACTGAAAGCCGTACTTAAATTATTGTTTATTAGAGTTCTATTTTCAGCCTCGTTTACGTAACCTGGTGGTCGGTAGATGCAGGCAACTACACACTTATGGAAATTCTGACTGCAATCAAATTTTAGCATGTTATAGATCTCACTTTTCTGATCACTAACTACCAACTACCATGGACATAACTTAATCCTATGACTAGTTTTTGAGATATTAGTTTAATGTCCACATTTTATATGCATTTACATCTACCTGTCACTTGAGTGTGAGGATGCCTGTCCATCCTGATAGTATTAGATGTCAGGACAGGTAGATATAAATGCATATAATGTAGGGTCCATGGTCCATTTGACAGTTCCTATGCCGATATGCAACCATATAGACTCTTTGGTTGGTGGCATTAGGCCGCCATACACACACGTTATTTCGCGCGGTTTATCGTGGCGTGTTGGGATGTAGCGGTTTGCATGCGCGCAAAAACGGCGTGGCAAAAAAGTGTCATTTTCCATACACTTGACAAAGTATTCAAATGATTTAGCACGTGATTACGCGCGGCATATCAGTTTGAAAGGAAAAATCGTATGTTTATGGGTAAAAAGTGTCATTTATCGTGTCGTTTGAAACGGCATGTGGTCATGTACTAATTTTCAACGTGATAGTTTGCGACGCGGCGTTCATGTTTTCGTACTAGCCTCAAAACCGTGACGTGGAATGGCGTGTGGACACGGGTGTGAACTGCACATCATGTACTTGAGTACTGACGCCACATTCCAGATGAAAGCACGTGTGAATTCCTTTCCCATTCTATCATTGCGTGTAGCCCTCCTCACTCACAAACATGATTTTTCACAGGATTTTGCAGATGACACGATAAACCGCGCGAAATAACGTGTGTGTATGCCGGCCAATTGGGGGTCCATGGTCCATTTGACGGTTCCTATGACGATATGCAACCATATAGACTCTATAGTTGGTGACATTAGGCCGGCATACACACACGTTATTTCGCGCCGTTTATCGTGTCATCTGCAAAAACCTGTGAAAAATCATGTGCGTGAGTGAGGAGGAGTGTACGCAATGATTGAATGGAAAGTTTGGACATTAAAGCAGGTGCCTATTCGACAAAGCCTCAAAACCTCTTGCGGCCTTTATTTGTCACAGAGGGTTATTCCAGTTTAGCAGGATGCCATTTGGTTTACACAATGCTCCAGCCACCCGGCAGAGATTGATAGACCAAATTTTAATGGACTTAGCCCCATCGGTCTTCGTATATTTGGATGATGTAGTGATGGTGTCCCAGACATTTGAAGGTATTAGAAGAGGTATTTGAACGACTTCAAGAAGCAGGCATAACTATGAGTTCAGATATTTCAGTAGTGAGTTGTGAGCCAATAATTGTGAGCTTGTTAGGCCATAATGCGCGAAATAAAAAACAGGTGTTTGGAGGAATTCATCGCGATTTATCATAGCGAGTCGTGCCTGTGACACTGTGGCAATTAAGTCAAATCGAAATACTTTGACGACTGTGACAAGAAAGAAGGCTTATTTGAAATTGGTAGCAAAATGGAAGGAAATCCTGCTTGTACAAAGTCTTCTTTTCTCAAAAACATTAATACATATTGTCTATTCACAATCTGTAGTCCAAAGGTACAGGTAAAATTTATCACCTTTCAATGCTATTTGATAGGGAATAGTGATAAATTTACCTGTACTTTTGGACTACAGATTGTGAAAAGGATATACTACCAAACCAAAAAGTTCTAATAACGCGTCGTTGTTAGTAGAGGCCGTAACGGTTGAGACTGAATTTCAGATTCGCCTGAACATTTGCAGAATTATCAGTCCATTCGGCGACCGGCCTTCAGGCGAACTGTTCAGTTCGAAGTGCCGGACCGTGTGTAGCCGGCTTTAGCTTTTTTGGCACTTTTCTGTTTGGCAGATATTCTTATTCCTCTGGTGATTTATCTTTTTGGTTTTGGCCTGATGTTAACGGGTCTTTTCGTGAATACTGATTTGTAGATGTCTATGGAAATTGAATAAAAGGCTTGAAATTTTTCTGAAGTGTTCATCGTGGACCAATCAGCGCGATGGAGTCGTTAAGAGAACAAGTTCTTGTTGTGCTCGGAGAGCGACATACAGTCGTGAGCACAAAAAGTGGGACACCCGTTTTTCTTATTGTAAAACGGGCTCACCAGCTATACCTAGGGCAATGACAGGGAGTGTCATATTTGACAAAAAATCCATTGTAGAGAAAAGACTGATTTACTCAAAATAGCAAAAAATGACAAGTCATGTCAGTCGGGTGTCCCACTGTTTGTGCTGTACGTGTCATCACCTGCGATCTATTTTCTACATAAGTATTTCTTTATTGCACATAAGTAGAGATAGTAATAGTTGGGGAGCTGGCGTCAAAAACATGCAAGAGTTTTCGCAAGGCTGATATTTTCAAAATAGGTCGTACTTTAGTGTTAGAAGGCTAGTGTACAGTCAGCACTCACAGTTCCGGGACAGCTGGCTCTGGGACGCGGGCAAAGTTGTAATTTTAAGAAGCATCTAAACTGTTTTCTCAAAGCTCAAAATTTATAGAAATTTTGCACATTATCTGTTTGAAGGTCACAGATAACGTATGTAAATCGTCAGACGTCTAGTTCGTTGCAAAAAGGGGGTCAGACGTCCTCAAAGTTTTTATTTTATGGCATTTTCTTCGGTGTCCTGTCAAAACATATTTTTGCAGGTATTTGACAAATATATTTGAAGAAAATGCCATAAAATAAAAACTTTGAGGACGTCTGACCCCCTTTTTGCACTGAACTAGACGTCTGACGATTTACATACGTTATCTGTGACCTTCAAATAGATAATGTGCAAAATTTCTATAAATTTTGAGCTTTGAGAAAACAGTTAAGATGCTTCTTAAAATTACAACTTTGCCCGCGTCCCAGAGCCAGCTGTCCCGGAACTGTGAGTGCTGACTGTACACTAGCATTCTAGCACTAAAGTACGACCTATTTTGAAAATATCCGCCTTGCGAAAACTCTTGCATGTTTTTGGCGCCACCTCCTGGACTATAAAGTCCTTTACCATTACACCGCGCACCGGTGCAACCATCTACCAGTTCATCTGTCAGTGTCTAACCCAAGTGACGCCATCTATCAATGATTAACCTACTACGGACTACTTCAACTAAACCTAAATGACGATATCTGTCAATCAAGCGGGGGCACCTGAGCCTGGGAAATTTTTCGATACCGTGGGAAAATCTCTTGATCTGAAATTTCAGGTATTTGACCCGAGCCAACCTCAAATTTTTGGCGGTGTTTTCCGGAATTTGACCGCAGCCCCTTATCTCATAGTGTCATTTTCAAACTTTCAAAGCTTAGTTATCGTCCATTCGGGGCCTATATTATTTAGGTATCGAAAAATCGGTGTGTTGAATGAAAACACACACACACACGTTACGAAAATATCTCATCCATTAAATCTAATTACATTGATTTTTCCTATAATAAGGTAGAACATTCTAGACAATAAAATACCAAAAACTACAACTATTGTATAATATAATATACAAGTATAGATTAAGTAAGTATAGACTTCAGGTTTGGAATCGGGAAAAATTAATTTGTATATTCTACGAGTATGCATTAGTAGTCTGATAATAGCTGCTTTCTTTGGGCGCCCTGGATCACGATTTTGTAATGTGTCAATGGTTCTTTTTAATCCGGGCGTCAAGCCCCGGGGTCATCTATTCCCACCGCTAGCGCCTCAGCGAGGCGTCGTAGCTCCACAGCTCCAGTGTCCGAAAATTGTTTGTCCCTTAATTACCGTTCTTTCAAGAGCGTGCGCGGACACGCCCCAGGTCGTCGTAGCCTGGGGTTTCAAAGCTCTGAAAAGAAAGCACCTAATATGTATGCGTAATGTGAAAAATTTCCCAGGCTCAGGTGCTCCAGCTAGGTTGACAGATAACGTCACTTGTGTTCAGTTGGAGTAGTCCGGAGTAGGTTAAACATAGAAGAAATTATTTTAAAAGGACCGACATATTTTGCGCGACGGCCCCTTGGTCCCCTAGGGCCAGCTGCCACTGATCCTTCCATTAATGGAGCATCAGCGTGCAGCAAACAGTAATAACATTACATTTTTTAAGAAACTGGATCCACACAATATAGAAAACACGTGTTGACTGGCAAATGGCTGAGCCCAGGGACTATTTCGGCAATTTGACGATTCCCGCGTCTTTTCTGTTTAATTTGATAGAGGAGGGGGTAATAGCCCTGCTCTGGAGGTGGGTAAATACCGGGTATAGAAATGTCAAACGATGATGTTGCAAAGGGCTTGTTAGTGATGTCATTAGATATGATCACATTTAACCAAAGTCGCATTAACTTGAAAAGTAATTACCGGTTAAGAACGGGCCTCCGCTTTAAATCGGTGGATGGCATATTCTTTCCAGAAAGTCTTCTTATTTGTTAGAAAAGAAGGACCGATGACGGACTGTCAGTTCAACAAATAATAAAGATTTCTTTTCAATCATAAGTGTTGTCTATTTTCGGCTCTTGATTTTAACTGTCAATGGTCACTTCTGTCAAATTATCCAACAAAGTATTTGTAAAATGTGTACATTTGTCAATCCATAGCCAACTTGATGGCATATTTTTTCAGAACATCTTTTGTCACTCTCATTGATTAAAAAAGGAGAACCGCCAACGGCCTGTCAGTTCAACAAACAATAAGAGGTCTGTTTCTCCAGAAATCACAAACCAGTCTCCGGCTCTCAAATTCAGCTGCCAACTGTCATTTCTGTCAAATATATGTTCAAATGGTAAATAATTGTTATGAGTGTTACAAATCGTATTACCGGTGGATTGAAAATGGACAAAAAATGACGGTATAACATTATAGCGAATTCTATTGGTAAAACCAGTGCAGAAAAAATGTATCTTTATCTCTTTCTTACACAAGCTGTTAGTAAAAGATACGTATACACTCAGTGCACACTAACCCTTTCAATAGAATTCGCTATTAGAAAGCGTCTATATTTTTGACAGTTTATTGGGAAAATGCATGGCCCACTTGATTTTGCCAGAAAGTCTATCTGTCTCTTATTGATGTAATCGATTGAAAAAGGATAGACGAAGCTAAGCAAGAAATTAATCTATCTATTGCTGGTGAAGCGAATTTGGGATAAATAGAAACGCAAATTTCCAACTCATTTAGATCGCCGCCATTTTTTCAATTATTTTTAATGCAGTTTCAGTAATTTTGACATTAGAATTGCCCTAATAAAGCTCGAAACGTTTCAAATAGTTCAATATGAAAGTAAGACATTTTACTTTCAAGCCTACTACTTAACTGACTAACTTCACTTGTACTACCTTGTCATTTAACAGTTGCATTTGTCAATCCATGGCCTACTTGATAAATTACTTTTCTAGAATGTCTTTTGTCACTTTCATTGATAAAGACACTGTTGATATGAAGTTTCAATGGCCGTTTCCACCAACTAATTTAGGGGAGACTTAATGATAAGTATTCCTTAAACTGACATTTCTCCATGGAAGAGTGTCATTTTAAGGAATACTTATTGTTAAGGCTCCCCTAAATTAGTTGGTGCAAACAGCCATAAGAATTTTGGGTCTAACTTTTGAGACCACGAATTCAAATATTTTTTTGTGAAAGTGTAGAAATTCGGTACGAGGCTGTAAATATGTCAAAAAACGATACACGGCTTCTGTCATATTTTTGACAGAAAGATATTTCTACACTAACATCCGTCATCCATTGATGTATGTCAACGTCAATGGGAAAAATTTAAAAGTGAATCAACTTGGAAGGCGATTTTCAGCCTGGAATGATTGTTATTTGATTTTAACCAATGCATTTCCGCTGTCGCGGTTTTAACCAAAGTAGGGGCAGTTGTGACGTCACATATCAGCTAATTTTTTTTTGGTATTTACCACTTATAACCGATTATAACCTAGCTTTGGACTTGGGTTAATCTTTTGGTCACAGCTTTTTGAGGTTACACTGCTATAACATAACCAAATCATTTCAGCGGTCAGTTTCCTGGGTTATGATTCTTGAGTGGTGGGGGATTATGACGTCAAACTTGGTTGTCAAAGTTGTCAACCAAAATAATAACCACGGTATTTACCGATGAATAATCCTTTCAGTACAGAGCAGTCGACGTCATCAGAAGATCTGTTTTCACAGAAGTCTCTGACAGTTTGAAAATTGTCAGAAACAATCGCTCAACTAAATTACCGACTTATCTTGGAACGACGGCATTGGAAACATGTATGAGCGAAGCTTTTTGACAGTTTGCAAACTGTCAAAGACTTTTGTGAGAACAAATAACGTTGACGTGAGAGCGCACGTTAACTTTTTCCTGGAATAACTTTCGAGTTAGCAGTTCACCCTGGATGGATAAACACTTGGGACAACTTTGACTCACGGTTGTTCCTAGCTCATGGGGTAACCCTTTATTGATAAACCGGCCTTTAATCCGGTTATATTTGCCTTGTGTCTGCCCCTCAGTTAAAATGGCCGATCCGTTATATTATGACGTCACCCTGGAATGGTCTATCCAAAATGTAAATTATAAAGAACAGTCAAGCCAACACCGAGCCTTGAGGAACTCTGTTGATAACAGAGTATATTCCGTTTGCTCTAACATGGAATTCTTTATGCTTCAAGAAGGAGTTGCTCCAGCACTTTATCAATGATTATTTATTCAACTTGAGAAAAACTCTATGAACTACTTGTGACAATATTACCATCTCATTATGTAAAAATGAAGTTTCAACTCTGGTAGCGCCACCTAAAGGGGGCATCACACGGTGTGTGGAGAGACGTCACTGGGAGAGACACGTCTGGCGCATGAACTGGCACTCCACACGCCGTGTAATGCCCCCTTAACAAATATTATTCTTTTTAAGGTGGGTCTACTAAATCGCCATCAAAACGTCGACTACATAGAAACCACGACAACGGCCCACCACCACCGCCAATCAAAAAGCGAAGTCCTGAGAGGTAGAAAATACTCAAACGGCCCGTCAATATCCAAGTACACAGTGTACTCAAGCCAACACATGCCCAGTCACTTTTTCAGCGCCATACCGCCCGAGTACGCTCCGAAAATGACCGACCGCTTGCCGAACTCGAACGTCGTATTTAGGAATAATCCAGAATCCAGATCGCCGTTGTATAGTAGAAAAAATCGGACGATTGACAATAGTTATGAGGCCAAGGAACCAGAGGATCTGTTTGGGTATTATAATTTGGGCAGTTTTCAGGATTTGTAAATACTTAACTTATTATAGAAAATTCAGTCTAATTTTTGGATTTCAGAATAGAAGAAACAAAAGAGGAGGCCACCAAGTTGCCGCCAGTGATTATTAAAAAAAAGTCTAGGTGTAACGAGTGCAACAAACGCCTGAATATCACGAATATTTACAATTGCAGGTGCGGCAGGATGTTTTGTTCGCAGCACAGATACTCAGAGGTAATATTGACAGTAAATAGGTATTTTGTTGACATTGACACTTTTGATTTGAGATGCAAAATTTTTCAAAGTAGCTTGGCACTAAAGATTTTGAAGGTTCTAAAGACTTTAAAGTACCAGATACGTATTTGTAGTGACGTCATTACGGGTAACAGATTTAAGAAGTAGTTAAATGAAACTTTAGCTCACATTACCAGTCATATACATTGAAACATCACTCTTTCAATTTACATATTCGTTATTAATAAATTACTGTTTAGGTTCACAGGTGCACCTACGACTATAAAACCGAAGGTAGGAAAATACTGGAACGCCTAAATCCGCTTGTCACGGCCGACAAGGTGCAGCGATTTTGAATTAATTTAAACCCGTCTCTTGTCGTACCGCGGGAATTACAAATTACAGATTTCTGCTCTGCGACAAGACCTAAAAAAAAAAATAGTGCCTCTTGTATAACGATAGTTTTTTTCCAGTTTTAACTATTAAAAAAAAAAAAAAAACAAACCGCTGTATTGTCGATACCGTAATTAATATACCATAATAATACGAATATTATTATTTTGAAAATGTAATATTGTAGAAGTTTTCTTTTAGTTGTTGGGCAAAAAAATTTCAAAATAAAGGAATGAAGTTTCTCAAAAGAGAAGAAACTTTCCTTTACAGTGCGAGAACTGAATGAACTTTGTTGACGTATGAAATAGCAGAGGGGAAAACAAAAATCTTTAGCGAAAATTGCGGGTTTCTGACGCGACGATCCTGCGTATATATTTAATCTGGGGCAAATCAGGCCCGCATTTCTTCTACACAGGTTCATTCAGTTGTCGCACTTTTGTCTTATATCAAGGCAAATTAAGAATAATTATCATTACGATTCTTCTTTTTTCTAGCTTTTTAATTATTATTGCAACTATTTGCTGTTCAAATGTTCCTATTGTAACGTAATGTTTGAACCGTCCTCTACTAAACTGAATAGGAGAAAAATGTCAAAAAATTTCCAAAAAAAAAAAAATATCTTACATCAATTGGTTTTTCCTTTGTGTGTGTTATATAACTGTAAATATTTATTATTTGTTATTAGTGTAAATATTTATTATCGCAAAAAAAAATGAATAAAAATAACCCTTTCACTTTATCTCAAACGCCAACAAAATAGTGATTTATTTAAGTAACCCATACTCAAGTTATATTTCTAGTGAAAATACTTCAGGAATACGTAAAATAGGTGTCTTTTAAAGACATTACCATGATATGAATATTAGAGGATTTTTCAGGGCCTATTCCCAAACCTCCTATGAGGGTGATCCCTAGACAAAGTGTCTGCAATTTTATTCTTGGTTCCCGGGCAATGTACAACTTTGAAGTTAAATTCATGTAACACCAAAATCCATGATGATCCATCTGGAAAGCCTAGCTGATTTGAGCTTGCAAGTCAGCAAGAAGCAAAACGACTTGTGATCTGTTAAAACAACTAACTGTTGACTCAACAATATCGTGCGCCATTGTCTCAAGCAGTGCACCAGAGCCATGCACTCCTTTTCGGTAGTGGTAGTAGTATATCTTAATTGAGTTCCCTTCAGTGTTGTGCTAGTATACGCTATTACTTCACGCGTTTTACCTTGAGCTTTTTGGAACAAACAACCCCCAATCGGAAAATCTGAACTATCGCACTAGACATATATTGGAGCTAATTTATATAAAAATAAAAATCATGTGTAACATCGTACACGTGCAACTTTGAAAAACTATTGTTCCTCGTATACAATTTCTAGACTTAGACGTTTACGCCACATGTAGACAATGTGTAAACAATTCGAATTTTCTACGCGTAGACAATCAATTGTTTACGTTGACATTGTTTACACTGTTTACAGGCACATCACTGGTTATGGAACCAGTGGACGCCGATCAGCTGCTGAAATTTGCTTGAAGCAAGAAAAGCGGTACAAACACAGTTTGTACAAATGAAAAATTTAAATGCGACGTGTCGTAAAGTGTAGTGCAGTGTAGGTGGGAATCTAGTCAATTAAACCAATGAAATATTTATCTAGCGAGAGAATTAGGCTAAATAATTGTAATTGTGTGTATCGTTAATCGTTGACGTCATCATTAACTAACTTCGTCGTTAGCTGTTTGCACCAGCGGTCGTCAAGGCGAGAACCAACACGCTGCGTACGTCATCACTGGTTATTTGGCGTGGTGGAGGGCTTGAAATTTGATTTACACAGGCCTTATGAAGATAACATATCCTGTAGTAGTAGTAGGAATTATCCTTACGGATTAAGGACCGTCTGTTCACACAAGAGTTTCTGACAGTTTCCAAATTGTCAGGAACAATTGCTTAGCAGCTAATGGCCATTTGCATCGACCATTTTGAAGAAGGTTTAATGATAATCAACGTTTAAAGTGAAGTGACATTTTTACATGCAAAAATGTCACTTTAAACATTGATTATCGCCTAACCTTCTTTAAAATGGATGGTGCAACCAGCCATAAGTTACCGAATCCTGAAACGACCCAACGACATCATGTGAATTATGAACGATGCAGTCTGACAGAGACTCTTGTGATTTGTGAAGAAGTGATGGTAATAAAAGCCAAAAGCCATGGATATGACAAATGACATTTATACATTTAAAATATTTGCAAGACATTTGATGTTGGTAACTTTGCCAGCTTTAAAGATATGACGAATTCGTATCGATTCGATATGCCCCATCAATATCATTAATCGACGTATATATCGATTGGATCCATCGATCGCTGAATAAAAGAAAGCGCCCGTCCTACTGAGAAGGACCTATTATTATGATTCCAATAATTGCCTTATCTATTTTACCTTACGGAAAATAATACGAAAACTACATTAAATGAAGAAAGACACAACAACGCTCATTGCGGGATAAAAAGGGAATGACAAGGAGAAAGACCGCGTCACGTGCATCGTATTTTACAATAATTGAAAACCGTTCAAAAACTGGAACAGCTATTGAAGTTTCATAGCCATAGCCATGATCCGCGTGTGGCTAAATTCAGCTGGTGTAGGTACCATGGTAGAAAAAGCAGTGTTGTTAAATTGAACAGGGTTTAACCAAGCTGTGGATTGGCATTTGGCATTAGTGAACCTTTGAATAATATGAAGGATAATGATAATACACACTACCAAGGATTGCTTATAGGCCTCGTTTTTGGTAATCGCCGCCATATTGGTTTATCACCATTGCTGCCGTCAATAACTAAGTCGTCAGTGACGTCAGCTATTTACGCCAGCGGTCGTAGTTTAGAAAAACGATATCTTAAAAAGAATTGTTCCAAAATGTTAATTAATACCGCCGAATCATAACCTGTGGTGCAAACTGCCCAAAGCTGATACACACTACTACTACAGTATGGCCTATCCTCATACATAAGGCCTGTGTGTAACACTAACAAATCCCCCCATGCCAAAATACCAATTGTGACGTAGACAACATGTTATTTTTCACCTTGACGTAGGCTGTTTACACAGCTGACGACTTAGCTATGACGTCGTTAATGGTGGCACACCAATATGGCGGCGATTACCAAAAACAAGGCCGATAAGCATTCCTTAGCGTGTGTATTGTCCTTGCAAACAGCCTACGTTAAGCCGAGAAACGACACGCTGTTACGTCACAGTTGATGATTTGGCGTGATGGAAGCTTCGGATTTGTTTCACACAGACCTTATGAGGATAGGCTATTCTGTAGTAGTAGTGGGCGAATTTGTAACACCCTGTATAAAATCAGAGACGACTAGAGTAGAGACATTTTGCTTTTGAAAAAAGACTCCAACTCTAAAACTCCATGATAAAATAAAAGCTAAAACAGTTTATATTGAAAATTATATTTATATTTATGTCATGTAAGTAGGCACATAATACGTTATTAAAACATAACTAAATGTATATAAAAATAGCTACTTAAAAATCTAATATCACATTTCGAATTACATATTATATCCTATTCACAATATCCGTAGTCCAAAGGTAAAGGTAAATTTATCACCTTTCCCTATCAAATAGCACTGAAAAGTGATAAATTTTACCTTTAACTTTGGACTACGGATTCTGAATAGATAATACTTTTTTTTACAAATAAATAATTATTTTACAATCAATATATATATAAACAAAAATAAGCCTTATATTATTTTTACATAAAGTCTGTTCCAACATGTCAAAATAAACCACTCTGTATATACAAATTTCGGATTCCACGCACAAATTTTAGGCTTTGCGCATTACGGTTTCCTGCTGTGTTGGAACAAAGCTATTAGCTCTGGCATAAATGTTTCAAAATTTCCCTACATAATTAATTTGTCCCTGATGACTTATGTATACAGGGTGATTTACGTAGCCCGTGCATTAGTCTGGAAAACTTTTAATGCATGAGCTAAATAAATCACTGTGTATATATTATAAAGCTTGTGGATTCAATTTTGAAGAGAAAGTGAACTACACTCTAGTAACAGGTGCTGGTAAATTTTGCCCTTGCGTACTAGCGAAAAATATATCAAAAATCCTCCTTTTCTCATCATTTACGATTTTATGATTAATCAACGCACTGTTGCTAGATTTAGCCCCATTATCCCTGCTTCTCAAGATTTTAGGCAACAACCCAAATATTCGGCTTTCGGATTTGTTCCTGCAAATACACAGCAAATCCCGCCACATGTCAAAAGTCTTTGGACTGTAAACCCACAACGTGGCAAAAATTATGCTGGTTTTGCGTAGAACTAGTTTCAATAGAGATAGAGTAAAAGTGTTATAAAACTGACACATTAGATACATTAAATAAGGCACACTAATTCCTATACTAATAACCAAGAGCCTATAGAATAGTCTTTCTAGTTTTAAAGGGCATCTGCCAGCTATAATAAGAGTTTGCCTGACATTTTTCAAAGCAACAGAAGTCAGTACAGCCAAAACACTACTAAAAACCATAAAAAATAGCTGAAAAAACACCAAAACCTTATTTGTAACCTCACAAAAGCCTGAAAGATGATTAATACTAATATGGTTTGACATTAAAACATAAAACATCGGTATAGCTGAAAAAACCCACACAATTGCATGTAGTCTAGTGGAGATTTTTTCAATTGCCTCAGTAGACCACTCTTTCATGGCACTCAAAAACCACACAAAACAGAAAACAGTCCACCATAAAGTATACGCAATATCGCAGAAGAGTAGAATCAATGCTATGCCTACACATGATAGACTTTCAGCTGGTTTTTCGTAAGCCAAATTACCTAGAAAATAATAACAAATAATAACAAATTTTTGGTTAAATGGAGGTTTACTTACCGGCACAAGTGTAAGGCCCTTCGATCCATCGTATAAGGTAAATAGTGCATGTGACAAATCCGCAAGATGTTAGGTACAAAATTGGCCGGGCGGGCCAGCGGAATCTTTTGGGTTGGATTACAAAGGTTACGAGGCCAAAGGCGGTGAATACTAGGCAGATGATTGACCATATTGCTACCCAAAGCTGTAAAAGAAAAAACAGATAAATAATAAGTATAGACAGAGTGCCATTAGTCTGAAGCTAGATGTAAAAAGTTTCATATTTTTCCCTTTACTAGTTTTGTGTGAGACTATATAGATTGACTCAATGTGGAAAATGGATATTACCTTTTGGATTAAAGAACGCACCAGCAACTTTCCAAAAAGTAATGGACTATGTACTACCGTTGGTATTACTAGCATTACAGAATAAAAACCGATGATATGTTTCCACTTTTTGTTTAAAGAAAGTAGGTACCTATTTGAAAAAAATACAATAATTGGACTGCACCCTGCAACCCGCTCATTAACCTTCCCTGTTAGTATGAATTTAATCCAATCATGAGATGTGGCAACGTCGCTTCCAATCAAGTAGGCCTTGTAATAAAATGTCATTTGCCACTTTTCTTTTGAAAGTCGGCCATTTTTTAATTGACGTGTTTACATTTTTATCCAGATTTTCCTCCAATTTTATGCTTTTCCAGGCCGTTTTCAGCCGGAAAAATTGGTTTGACATACCGAGGCTCTTAATATCCTACATTTTGTGTTAAAAATGTCTAGTTTTTCAAAGGGGTAAGTAACGAAAAATCAAGTTGGCTTTGGGATGTTATTTTGGCTGGTTTTTCTTTTGATTTTCCGCTTTTACAGGTCGTTTTCGAGCGGGAAAGCTGATTTAACGTACGAGGTTTTGAGTTTTCTTAATTTGCTAGCAAATGAAATCTGATAATTTTGTTCTCAAATACCGATAATTTTAAATTTGACATCTGTCAATACTGTTTGCCACTTTCTTTTGGCAGTCGGCCATTTTTTTATTTGACGTGTTTACATTTTATCCAGTTTTTCCTGGAATTTTCCACTTTTCTAGGCCGCTTTCAGCCGGGAAAACTGGTTAAAAATACGAGGCTTTGAATTTCCTACATTTTGTGCCAAAAATTTCCAGTTTTCCAATGGGGTAAGTGACAAAAACTTTAGTTTTATCAAGTAGGCTTTGGAATGTTGGTTTTTTCTTTGGATTTTTCGCTTTCCAGGGCCTTTTTAATTGGAGAAAGGTGGGTTTTGAGGGCAGTGCTTTGAGTTTACTTAATTTTTTTTACCAAAAACTTACATTTTTAGACCTGAATTATATCCTACTTTATCTCCCTCTTTGTCTTACTCACTATCAAACAGCCCTTGGAATGTCATTTTCATTAAATTTTGTTAAAAATAAGTTGGGAACTTATTATTTTATAAACATTGTTTAATTAAATTTAAAACAAAAAACCATTTAAAATCTATTTTTTTTCCTATTTGAGATGTGGCAACATCGCTTTCAATCAAGTAGGCCTTGAGATGAAATGTCATTTGCCACTTCTCATTTAACAGTCGGCCATTTTTTAATGGACGTATTTACATATTGTCCAGTTTTTCCTCGAATTTTCCGCTTTTCCAGGCCGTTAACAGGCGGGAAAACTGGTTTAAAATACGAGGCTTTGATTTTCCTACATTTTGTGTCAAAAAATTCTAGGTTTCCAAGGGGGTAAGTAACGAAAACTCAAGTAGGCTTTGAAATAATATTTTAGCTGGTTTTTCTTTTGATTTTCCGCTTTTCCAGGCCGTTTTCGAACGGGAAACCTGATTTTAAGTACGAGGCTTTGAGTTTTCTTCATTTTCTAGCTTTTTTTCTCAAATTCCGATAATTTTAAATTTGACATCTGGCAACACTGTTTGTCACTTTCTTTTGACAGTCGGCCATTTTTTTATTTGACGTGTTTACATTTTATCCAATTTTTCCTGGAATTTTCCACTTTTCTAGGCCGTTTTCAGTCGGAAAAACTGGTTTAAAATACGAGGCTTTGAATTTCCTTCATTTTCTGTCAAAAATTTCCAGTTTTCTAAGGAGGTAAGTAACGAAAACTCAAGTAGGCTTTGGAATACGTTATTTTGGCTGGTTTTTCTTTGGATTTTCCGCTTTTCCAGGCCGTTTTCGAGCGGGAAAACTGATTTTAAAGTACGAGGCTTTGAGTTTTCTGGCAAAAGTTTTCAGTTATGCCATAATTAGCAAAATCCCATTTAAAATGCTTTTTCTGGAAGTTTCGATGTGGCAACACCACTTGTGGCCAACTTTACGAGGTTTGAATCTACTGTGCGTTCGGTATTTTGATCAGTTTTGACAGTCGGCCATTTTTAATTGACGTGTTTACATTTTATCCAGTTTTTCCTCGAATTTTCCGCTTTTCCAGGCCGTTTTTAATCGGGAAAACTGGTTTAAAATACGAGGCTTTGAATTTCTTCATTTTCTGTCAAAAATTTCCAGTTTTCCCAGGGGGTAAGTAACGAAAACTCAAGTAGGCTTTGGAATATATTATTTTGGTTGGTTTTTCTTTGGATTTTCCGGTTTTCCAGGCCGTTTTCGAGCGGGAAAACTGATTTAAAGTATGAGGCTTTGAATTTTGTTTATTTTCTAGCAAATGGAATTTGATAATTTTGTTCTCAAATCCCGATAATTTTAAATTTGACATCTGGCAACACTGTTTGCCACTTTCTTTTGACAGTCGGCCATTTTTTTATTTGACGTGTTTACATTTTATCCAGTTTTTCCTGGAATTTTCCACTTTTCTAGGCCGTTTTCAGTCGGGAAAACTGGTTTAAAATACGAGGCTTTGAATTTCCTACATTTTTTGTCAAAAATTTCTAGTTTTCCAAGAGGGTAAGTAGCGAAAACTCAAGTAGGCTTTGGAATGGTATTTTGGCTGGTTTTTCTTTTGATTTTCCGCTTCTCCAGGCCGTTTTCAGTCGGGGAAACTGCTTTAAAATACAAGGCTTTTAATTTCCTACATTTTGTGTCAAAAATGTCTAGTTTTCCAAAGGGGTAAGTAACGAAAACTCAAGTAGGCTTTGGGAGGTTATTTTGGCTGGTTTTTCTTTGGATTTTCCGCTTTTCCAGGCTGTTTTCGAGCAGGAAAACTGATTTAACATGCGAGGTTTTGAGTTTTCTTCATTTGCTAGCAAATGGAATCTGATAATTTTGTTCTCAAATCCCGATAATTTTAAATTTGACATCTGGCAACACTGTTTGCCACTTTCTTTTGACAGTCGGCCATTTTTTAATTGACGTGTTTACATTTTATCCAATTTTTCCTGGAATTTTCCACTTTTCCAAGCCGTTTTCAGTCGGGAAAACTGGTTTAAAATACGAGACTTCGAATTTCCTTCATTTTCTGTCAAAAAATTTCCAGTTTTCCAAAGGGGTAAGAAACGAAAACTCAAGTAGGCTTTGGAATATGTTATTTTTGCTGGTTTTTCTTTGGATTTCCCGCTTTTCCAGGCCGTTTTCGAGCGGGAAAACTGATTTAAAGTACGAGGCTTTGGGTTTTCTTCATTTTCCAGTTATGCCATAATTAACAAAATCCCATTTAAAATGCTTTTTCTGAGAGTTTCGATGTGGCAACACCACTTGTGGCCAACTTCACGAGGTTTGAATCTACTGTGCGTTCGGTATTTTGATCCGTTTTGACAGTCGGCCATTTTTAATTGATGTGTTTACATTTTTATCCAGTTTTTTCTCAAATTTTCCGATTTTCCAGGCCATTTTCAGCCGGGAAAACTGGTTTAAAATACGGAGTCTTTGAATTTCCTTCATTTTCCGCCAAAAATGTTCAGTCACCCATGACGTATTTGAAATATGGTACAATTGACGTCCTCATAAATATGTCAGTTTGATCATGACATGATGTTTATGCATGTGACAGTAAAGTCATGAATCACGTCATATTTTGTTAAGATAACATCGCGAACCAAAATTGATTCTAAAATGACGTCATTTGGAGAGAATTCAAGAGCCTGGAATAGAAACAATCCTTGTATTTCTGCTTATCAACCAGCAATACGCTAATTACTCGGAGCATCTTTCATCTTTTTTCCTTTTGATTACAAGAATAAGGATACAAAAAACCCTATTAGTAATTATTTTTACCTCAAACGTTGCCACTTCTTCCGGATCAAAGTGCTGCTTGCTTTTGCACACCGGAACGCACTTTCCCGCACTGGGAATCATATTGGGCGGACACTTGATGCTGAACGTCACTTCTTCTTGGTTGAAATAGTGCGTTTGGGGCTGTTCGAACTCTTCCGGAGGCTGCTGCATACATAAGGCTGGTGGTTCTGGAAAACTATACAAAAAGAAAAAATTGATTTGAGTACCTACTCTGGGATTTGAACTTTTGGATCAATCTGGCAACATTGTATATTTTATGACAGCTGACAAGTTGGGTATGGCCTACTACTAGAAGTATCAGATAGAAAAGTTTTAAGAAATTGTCAAAAGTTTTCACCTTATAATGTAGCATTAGTACAAAGAAAATGTATTTCTATCTGTTTTTTTAACACGCTGAGAGAAAGAGATGGAAATACACTCAGTGCGCATGAAATCTACCAATAATCGAAAACGCCTTAAGTTAGTTTTAAGCATACAGGGTGTGTTGAAAAAGTGTAACAGAGTGAAATTATATATTTTTAAATGGAACATCATATATAGATCACCCTGTATCTACATCGTGACTATCTTCAGCCAATTTGAATTTAGTACCGCGATGACACTTTTCAGATGGTTTTATTGTCGATAGATATCTAAATGTGGCAACCCTGTATAAAATGGATTTTCGAATTTAAAATAACGGATACTTGTCACAGACCAGAGCAAAGTCGTATTTTTTTTTGTCTTCAGACGTAATGTTTCAGTTATGAATGTTCTATACAGGGTGACACAACATTTTAACTATTGAAAAATTTATACCTTTGTGCTATTTCATGTGTTACCCTGTATAATTTATTATTCTACCGGGTAACAATGAATTATGCAATACAAGACGTCATTCAGTTGTCTTTGAAGTTAAATATTTGAAAATCAGGTGACGTCATTGAGACGCCATTTTTCGTAAAAAAAAAACAATTGAATATCACTTCCGGTTACTCCGGAAATGAACCTAAGTTAGATAGAGCTTAAAATTCCCTTTTCAATGACACACTACAAGTTGCATTTGTTTCCAAGATGGCGGCGTAAAACTTCCGGTTACTCCGGAAATGGACCTAAGCCAGATAGAGCTAAAATTCTCTTTTCAATGACATATAAGTTGCATTTGTTTCCAAAATGGCGGCGTAAGAAGATACTTTTTCAAATTCAATATGGCGGCATTCTGACGTAACCGATAAATGAATATACATTTTGGTAGACATTTTTCGGTAGGTCATCGGACACACTGATTAACTGTTTAACAAAAGCATTATCTTTTACCCTATCACGTCAAATTTACATCAAAATGCCGCCATATTGAATTGAAGAAAACTGTCTTTTTTACGCCGCCATTTTGAAAACAAATGCAACTTGTGATATGTCATTGTAAAGGGTGTAAACTGTGTTAAAAAAATATACAGGGTTTCACAAAAATTTCTTGACTTGGGTCAATTTTCGGAGTGATATTCAATTGTTTTTTTTTTTACGAAAAATGTATGTTTCCATGACCCACCCGATTTTCAAATTTTCAACTGAATGACGCCTTGTTTATTGTATTTGACACTCTAGTTAGGAGTAGATGACATTTATAAAACAGATCACCCTGTATATACAAGTATCACACACACAACTTACCTAGAACAATTAAGTTCCTGAGGCCAAGCCATGTCAATTTTAGCCAAAGCTTCTTCGCAATCGCCCTTCACCTTTTCGCACAGCCCTTTGCAAGCCGGTATCGGTCCGGGAACGTGCTCCGAACACATCGGAACAAACACCGAGCACACAAACAGCCTAATGTATTTGGAGCAGTGGTGGTGGAGCAACGGAGCAAATAAACGAAGCTGAAAACAAAAAATTTAAATATCAATATTTAAACTATTAAAAGCGATTCCGTGTTTTCACTGATATGATTTATTTAAACGCCCCGGAGGCCACTCTAGAGGAATTTTGTTTGTTTTTAATTGGGGGCCGGGCTGGTAATAGTAGATAGTCGGTTTGTATAAATAAAAGCGGTTAATTGAGTGAAAACATCACTTGGATCCTGATTATATATAATTGTTGGTATTTAAAACGGAAAAATTGTGTGGGCCTACTCTGTCCGACATATTTTAATAAATTTGGCAGCACTGGTTGAAGTTTTGACAAGTATGACAGTCGGAAACAAAAGGTTTTTAAATTAAAATGGCTTTTTTTCAAGTCTTATTCAGCTTTAAAGTAACAAATTCTAATACAACTTAGTAAGTAAATGCATGGGTAAATTACAGTTACCTAAATGTAAACAACACGGTGTTTTGACCCGAACGGCCATATTGAATTTCGTTTGACAGTTCAATGGATTGTCTAATTGAAATCAATGGACAAACTTATTTTTGAGGGTTTTTAAAGCCAAATTGATTTAAATTTTTGTAATTTTTCTACGTATTTTCATGGATTTTAAGCGTAAAAATACAAAAATGATTCAAATATTGGTTGAGAAGTGCTCAATTGGTAATTGGGAAGAAGAAGATTTGAAAAGTGTGGACATAACCTCAAAAAAAAAAATCAAAATAGCGTTTGTGTGTGTGATTTTGTGCAAGGCATTTTCGTGTTTTATTGCAGTTATTGAGCAAATTAAACTTCGAAATTTGAAAATTTTTGCAGTAACTATTACTAGGTAAGTAAATGTATCCATAATTTCCTATTACACAGTGCCTTATGGGGGAAATTGATCAATAATCAATTAGAGACAATGGACAAACTTATTTGTTGAAATATGGTTTCAAATTAAGGTTTTTAATGTCAAACCTACTTCAAAAATAGAGAATAGAGCGTTTTCTCTACGTATTCTTATGGATTTCATGCATAAAAATACAACAGGCCTTTTCGGAAATGCTCATCCTAGGTAGAGTAATCGTTTGTTAGTCTGACGTCATCAGTTGGAGTGCACTCTGGGTGCGCTATTTCTGAATTCTGAACGTATTGGGGCGTTTTTCAACCCAGTCCCTGAGTATTTAGGGCGAGTTCTCATAAGCGTAAATTGACATTTCCGACGTAATCACGTGATAATACGGTGTAATTTGATGGGTAAAATCCCAGCATGGCGAATATTTTACCAACCAAAGCACCTGTTAATTTATGAACGGTTTAGAGTTACTCTAGGGTCACTCTCGCACCCAGAGTGCTATTTCTTAAGGCAACCCTAATGTACTGTATCTTTTTTCAATCGTATTTATTAAAAAGAGATGAAAGACAAACAGCTGAAATCGGATTAGCAATTCCGAAAAGGTCTAAAGTTTGATTGACAAGTGCCCATTTTCAATTGGGAAAAAGAAAATTTGAAAAGTGAACATAACCTAGAAAATTTCAAAATGGCGTTTGTGATTCTGTGCAAGGTATTTTTAAATGTTTTACTTTCAGTTTTTTAATGCAGTTATTACGCAAAAGTGTTGCAGTAACAATTATAAGGTAAGTGAATTTATCCATAAATTCTTTCTGAGTGAGAGAAATTCCTCAATAATCAATTGAAATGGACAGGGAAACTTAAATGCGGTTTTTGATTAGGGTGTGGGTCTGGTAGCGGGTACTTTTAACGTAAAACTAGGGTACTGGGACAATAGTCATCCCTGCCAATCGCAGACTCCAGGTTCCTTCTGGCCCAGAAGGCTAGCACCCATCAGGGTCCTCCAAGTTCAGGGTTACAGAGAAAGACCACGGGCAAGGTTGTTTGAGAGAGGTAGGTTGCCTGATAACTTTTGTGACGTCATCTGTATGCTTGAATATAATGCTCCATAAGGCATGCCAGATGCGTCATCAAGTTACCCATTACCAAACAACTTTAGGAACCTTGGATCACTAGCATATTCTGTGCGATTGTTTTGAACCGTTCTAGTACCGGGGCGTTGCTATACTGGTAGACAAAAAGAAGGAACATCGGGTTATAAAGACAAGAGCCATGTCAAACAAAGTAATTTATGTAATTATCAGGATCAACGCCATGTTTAGTATCCAAGCATATGCACCCACCTGCGTCTCCTCATACGAAGAAATTGAAACATTCTACGAAGACCTAAAAGAACGCAGAAAAGACCAAAATCTGTGTGATAATCGGCGATTTCAATGTGAAGGTTGGAGTCAGGCAGGGTACCGATGGATCCTCCTGGTAAATTCGGGCTGGGAGCTAGGAACCAAAAAGGACAAACCATGATCGACTTCCTCAATAAGGAGAGGCTCTACTGCATGAACACCTTCTACAAAAAGCACCCGAAAAGAAAATGGACCTCGAGGAGCCCCGATAACAGAATTAAAAACTATGTTCTCACATCGAACCCCCAATTATGCTCGGATGTCTCAGTACTAAACTGCTTTGACACAGGCAGCGACTATAGATTGGTTAGAGCCAGGATCCACATCAATACTCGACACCCAATAGAAAGAAAGATACGACCAACCATAGGTAAACTGCGAGAGAGGAAGAAAGAATTCAACAGGCAAATTGACAAGAAGCTACACCCAATTGAACATATGCTAAACATGGAACTGAACGCACTTTCAACGAAGATCACCTCTAGTTTTAGAAACGCAGTGCGAAAAGTCTGTTCTCTCCAAAGTAAGAAACATCCGAAATTCAGTTTAGAAAAAGAGCCAAAACAGGGTCTGGCACCCAAAAATTTCGGCGCTTTATTTCCAACAGCGCTCGTGGTGGACCAGCAAGAAACTCTTATTCAGAACAGAACAACTCATTGAAGAACGGAGGAATACTGACAAAAACCTGAATAAGATCGTAAAGAAGGGCAGCAGAAAAGATCACAGAGCTTATAATACGAGGAAGCCATACAGAACAACGTAAACATGAGAATTTTACGTTTCAAGAGATCTAAAAGCAAAATGATTACCCACAAGATGAAAAACGTTGTGAATAAAAGAGGAAAGATCGCAGAAATTATTGAGAATTTCTATCGACGACTCTACAGCCCATCGGTCAAGAAGGTCAAATTCATTCAGCCAATCCTAAACATAGAATCATTAATGAAGAAAAACTAGCAAGAACTGCAAAGCCCCGGGAGACCAGATCACCAGTGAGATGTTGAAAGTCGGAGGAGAGACACTTCTGACCTTACTAAATAAGTGTCTAGAAGAAGAGAAAATCCTGAACTCTTGGAAGAACGCAGAAGTTATCTTATTTTTCAAAAGAGGCGACTGCACAAATCTAGAGAATTTCAGGCCCATCAGTCTGCTGTCAAAAACCCTAATGCAATGAAGACCAGGGGAAAGAAAGAAAAAGGAGTATAGGACGTCCGCAGACGAGATGGCGAGACGACATTCGGGAAAGAATTGGATGAAGGCCGCTCAAGATAGATTAACATGGAAATCTTTGAGGCCTATGTCCAAAAGTGGAAGAACATAGGCTAAAGAAAAAGAAGAAGAAAAAGGGACCTTACACTGGCGTTAAATCGTCAAAGGATAGGGCAAGACAATCTCTACTAAAAATAACCCTCCAAGATAGGAGTTAGCAACCTATTCTTCGGAAAAAAAACTCAACTGACATATGGAACATACAGGAGTTTAGGACAAAACAAAATGAGGTCTTCCGGGAGTAACCAAAGAAAAAAAAAAGATGTATGCGTACTAATGGCAATGGAAAAGAGAGGAAATGTAAATGAGGAAGTGGGAGATGTTTTACACTTTCACAGGAGTGGAGAAAAGTTGAAGAGCTAAGGAAGGAGTGTCAATTGCAGTACTTACATAAAGGATAAAGCAAAATATAAAAAGCTTGATGATGAAATTCTTACCCTTAGAGATGTGTGATCATAGGTGTGTATGCTCTAAGTAATGACACTGAAGAAAGGGTGAAAGATACATTTTGTGAAAGAATGGAAGAGGCTCTAGCAGGAATAAATTGGAATGAAAAAATAGTGATATTCGGTGACCTTAACTCAAGGAGAGGAGAACTTCTCACCGAAGATAATGAACGGATTTTACCCCCATAAGGATATCCATAAATTTACCTGGATACAGTCTATCAAAGAACTAAAGTCAATCATAGACTACGTTATTGAAAGACAGTGGTCTAGAATAAAAATAAATGACGTAAGGGCGTATCGTAGCGCAGATCGGTTATAGCACAAGCAGTGGGTAATTTCAGCGAAATACAAATATAAATCCAAATTAGGCACAGTAAGGTATAATCTCGATAGCTTTCTCTAAAGATGAATCTGCAAAAGTCTTGTATAAATTATGACTATAGCAGTACATCTCCGGGACTTAACGCAGCAGCAAAATATGAATAAATTACAAAAAAAAGAAGAGTTCGGAATACAAGACAAAATAAACAAACACAATCCTGATTGGTGGTCAGAGGACCTAGACAGGCTAAAAAAAGCCAAAAAGGGATAGCTTAACCAAAAGTGGTTGAATTCAGTAAATCCAGAAGATGGAAGGATTTATACACAAGTGAATAGGAACCTTAAGAAAGAAGTGGCAAGACAAATAAGCTAAATATGGGAGATCGAAAGATATTTGGGTGGCTCAAGGTGATAGCTTCAAACACGTGAGGAAAGGTAGAAAGGACGCAGCGAATGTTCAGATGATAACTATGGAAAAACAGTGTTGCCAGAGCGCAAAATTTTTTTGTACCAAAATTAAAGAAATATTGTATCAGAGCGGGTTACATATGGCTATGATACAACAAACGTTAAAAAATTGACGTTTTAAAGTAGGCCTTGTTTTCTTTACAACTCGATACAAAATGGCGTTTCTTTGTTGCCCTGTGGGCTCAAGATTGGAAACACTCTCGCCCCTCGGGCTCATGATTAAAAAAAAAAAACGCCATTTCCATCCTTTAGCGTTACAGTGTTGCCAAAAG